GGAGGTCATTTTTCCTTCCATCCTTGTCCTCTTTCCTATCGTCTCTTCTGTCTTCTCTTCTTTCTTTTCTCTCTTCTCTTCCATCTCTTCTATCTTCCATCTGATGAAATTTCGATGGCTTCCTTTCATAGGATGACTGGTACCTTTCCCTCTTGAATTATTTTCGTTCATAGGGTTTCTTGATGAACTTTTTCTGGATCTGCTTTGTAATCAAGGCCAGAGATTTGGCAAAGGCTTTAATTTCATCATCTGATTCAGAAGTTTCTTCTTCAGATTCTGATTCTACCACCAGTGCTTTCTTTCCTTTCTTCTTATGTTCTCTGGTAGGGGTCCTTGATATTTTCTTTTCATCGGCAACAAGAGCGAGGGGTCCACCGATGGATACCTTCTTCTTCATAATGTCGTTCTCTTGTGCAACAAGCGTTCCATACAGATCTTGAAGTGACAAGCCGTCTAGGTCCTGATTTGCTTGAAGGGACATAGACAGCTGAGTCCATTCATCGCCAAGACTTTTTAGGAATAAAACATTATTTTCTTCCTTAGTTCTGGAGATATCGTTTCGACGACATTGATTAATCAATGTGTTGAAACGATCGTATGTCTTCTTAATCGGTTCATCAGGAAGGGCCTTGAAGTTTGTGTATTCGTTGAGACATTGTGCTCTACGATTTTTTCTTCGTTTTTGCCCCTCCTTCCAGTTGGCTTGCCAGTTCATCCCATAGTTCCTTGGCTGTGGAACATGCATCGAGGGATTGGAAAATTTCATTGGCTATGGCCATGATTATCAGTCGTTTGGCCTTCTTGTCGGTCTCTACCCTTTCTATGTCATCTTCATCCCAATTCTTCTCATCCTTGGGCATGTAGTAGGCAGGAATTTCAGTTGTGGTGTTTGTTCCTAGGACTCTTGGGACAAGAGTTTGTGGAACGTAAGGACCCTCCATTACAGATCGCAGGAGGTTCCTGTCCATTCCTTCCGAGAAATTCACCATTCTTATCTTCCATTGTGGGTATTCTTCTCGTTGAAGAGTTGGAGGCTTGGTGAGCGAGCCAACACTATATGCAGAATTCCAGTTGGCCATTGAGAATTTTAGAAGAGAGAGATTTTACGTTTTGGTGAGAGAAAAAATTGAGAGATTTTGGATGATCGTTTGATTGAAAAAACAATCAATTGGCTCTGATACCAATTGTTGAACCCAGATCTCTCAATAACACTAATAATCGAGTTAAGAATAACCAAATTATAGTGTTTTAATGAACAAAGTGATAAACACTCAAGAATAAATTATGAACATTAAAGAACAATCTTGAGTGTCAAAGATTTCACTTTATTAATAAGAAAAACGTAAAAGCGACATTTAATACAATAGGCCTAATCACCTATTTATGCTGGTAAGCTAATTAGAAGATAACTATCTAGTGAGACTATTTAGCTAATCTTGTATTAACAGATAATGTTTATCTAAACTATGGATAAGCTATAAGTTTAAGATAAACTTGAAATCCAGCTGTCGACTTGTCATCTCCAGCTGTCTTTAATGGAATGATGGATCAACCTTATCTTCATATCTTCATCGTATGCCTCTGGTTGAATTGCTGAAGAAAACTCTAAGTGTTGTTGACTAGAGGGGTGATGAAGATGCTCTTTCCATCACATCTCTGGTTGTTCATCGACCCTCTGGTTGTTCTCCAGACTTGGTCAATTCTGCCTTGATGTCTTCATCGGTCTTCTGGTTTTTCATCACTTATTGTTTTTCATTAATTTTACACTTTATGGATTATGGGGTCTAACAACATCACCATTTGGTTTAGGATGTTCCAGATTATTAGAGCCAAAACAAAAGATCTCTTCTGTCTTCTATATGCTATTTAGATCAACTTGTTGCATACCTTTTGAAGAGTAAGAGATGTTTTCGAACTTTAATCTTTGAGTTTTGGCCCCATTCTCAAGCTTACATCTTTTAAAAGGTGAGGCTTTATATAGAGATGGAAAATCTGGTTTTTGCTCTGCTTGTAACCTAAACACAGACTCAAGAGGGATTTCTTCTTTCAGGTGAGTTCTAGGTCTGTATAACCTATCTCTGCTCTGTCCTGTTGAGAATTAATCTTTTCATATACCTTCTGAGCATCTTGATATTTTTTAATTAAGAGCTCTTTTCTTTGTAAGCTCTGGTGTGGAAATTCCCTTTTCTTTTAATTTTTCAAGGCTTCAGAGTTTAGTCTGTCACGTTCCTTTTCTAAAAGCTCTTTTTCTTTCTTTTGTATAGCCGCTTTTAGTTCTGAGCACTCTGATTTAAGACTTATTTCAGAGGGAACATTTTGTTTGTAAAAGTTTTTCATTCTCCACTGACAATTCTTGTTTTTCTACAGTTAACAGCTTGGTCTGACGTTCAAAGAATAACTTTTCTTTTTCCAAAGACTTCCTTTTCGATTTTTCGACAGAGAGTTTTTGCTATAGATTTATGAAATTATTAGTTAAAGCAGAGATGCTTTCTTCCAGATCAGAATGAGAATAACCAGAGATAGAACATACCTTGGAGTCGGAGCCAGATCCAGACTCTTCTTTGTCATTCTCAACAGCCATTCCACATAAATGGGCTTGGTCTTCTTCTTCTTCTTCAGATGAGGAGTCAGAGACCCAGTTCTCCTGTTCAGCCATGAGACTCCTTTGGGATTGATTATACTTGTACTTATTTTTGTAGTACAACTCATCTTTCATCATAGGGCCTTTGCACTCTTTGGTGTAGTGTCCCATCTTTCCGCACCTGAAGTATCTAACAGCTTGCTTCTTCTGTTCAGACTGCTCTTTCTCCTTCTTGTTTGACACAGAGGGAGGGTTCCTTCCTTCGAAAGCTTTGCTTCTGTTCCAATCGCCTTGTCTTTCTCTTTAATCAAAGACTTTCTTCCCAAATTTCCTTTGAAATATCTTGGTAATCAAGGCCAAGGAATGTGCAAAATCACTAATGTCGTTGTCTTTAGAGCTTGATGCTCTGTCTTCTTCATCGCTCTCCATGATAAGAGCCTTCTTCCCCTTTTGCTATTCCTCCTTTGATCTTCTTTCTTGCTCCTGTGCTTGCAGAGTGCAATACACATCATGAAGAGTCTATTGATCCAGATCTTGGTTCGCCTGGAGGGACATGGTCAAGTTTCCCCATTCAGCATTCAACCTCTTCAAGAAGAGCATATTGTTCTTCTCTTGGGTTCTGATCACATCACATTTATGACATTTGTTGATCAGTGTGTTGAATCTATGATAAGTCTGCTCTAAAGACTCATCAGGAAGTGCTTGGAAACTATTGTACTCATTTAAACATTGAGCACGACAATTTTTCTTCATTTTTATTCCCCCTTCCAGCTAGTTTGCCAGTTGATCCCATAGATCTTTGGCAGACTCACAAGTGTTTAGAGATTGAAAAATCTCATTTGGAAGAGCCATGATCAAAAGCCTCTTGGTTTTCTGATCCACTTCCACTCTACGCTTGTCCTCATCGTCCCAATCTCGACGAAGCTTGGGAACTCTTCTGACAGGTACTTCGACCGTATCGCCAACAACAGTAATGTAGTGGGTACAAAAGGGCCGTTCAAAATCGATTCATAAAGCTCAAGGTCAAGACCTTCGTAAAAGTTTATCATGCGTATTTTCCATTGGGGATATTCTTCCCTAATGAGTGTTGGAGGTTTTGTCCGAGATCCAGCACAAATAAGAATGAAATTCTTTTTAAAAAACGAATAATCAGAAATTAAGAGTGGTATCCTGATAGATATCGATCGACTAATCAATGAATTTGATTAGTTGGCTCTAATACCAATTGTTGGAACCCAGATACTCTTAATTCCCAGAAAATACAGTTAATGAAAAATATGAATGTAATACGAACAGTGTACTGAATATGATCAAACAAAATATTCAATAGAAATAAGAACAGTAAAAGACTTTGAATAAGTCGGATGCTTTTATTAGATGAAAATAAGAATTCTTAATCTAAACGTATTCTCACAAGAAATGGCTATAGTATAAGTCGACACTCAGGTTATTTGAACCTGAGGAGGAAGCCTCCTTATATACGCCTAAGTCAAACAAACTATGCTATAATTATGGCTTGAAACTCTGAGTCGCTGAGTCCACATCCTTATCGTTGGCTACCCTTGAAAAGTGGAGCGGACCAAGTGAAGCTGCTTTGATTCTGTTTGATGCTTGTGAGAATGTCTGGACTAAACGCATGTTCCATCGAGATAGGAGACCAGAGGCTCTACATGTACTATACAGAGGCTCTGCATGTACTATGCAGAAGCTCTGCAGGTACTATGTAGAGGTTCTGCATATGCAGAGGCTCTGCATGTACCATGTAGAGGCTCTGTGTCTGGAGTGTAGCTTTGCATCGAACGCTTATACTTTTTGGCGCTTAAGGCTTGATCGTCCACGTAGATTGAGCGCGGGCTCTGTATGTAAGATCCTTGAATCTTTGAGTAAGAGCTCTGGGTCTAGACTTCTTCTGCATGAGAGATCTTAGTCCAGACTGCTTCTGAAGAATAAGTCCTATGGACTAGAGTAAGAGGCTTCTTACTTACACTTTCACAAGATGGGTCTAACAAATATCTTCCCTGATGATGAGACATTCACCACTGGACCTGAGGAAGCACCTCTCGAGGCTCCTCAGCAAACTGCTGCTCATCCTTTTGAGTGCCTCATGGAGCGCACCAGCGTTAATTCTTCCGATAACGTTGATGACCCTTAAGGTATTCCATCTTCTTATCCTTTCATTTCATCTAACCCCGAGCTCTCTTATGCTTACTTTCCATCTTTTACACGTCCTTTTGCTGAACCAGCCATGGAAGATTCCTACAACATGGCTGAAGATATGAAGCTGCTCTTCCCGACAGTTGAGACTGTCCTTAACAAAATGGACAAAGTCCATAAGGGCATGACTCAACGGGACGAAGTAGTTGCTGACCTCTCAGCCGTCAGGGTTGAAGTTTATGAGGTCTAGAACCAACTCTCCTCCATGCAAGTGGCAGTTCAAGCCAATGTTGAGGCCATCTGTGCTTTAACAAGCAAGGCCGATGAAACACACTCCCACCTTGCCCAGCAAAGGAAGGTCATGAAGAAGATATTGACTACTCTACAACAACCAATCCCGACAGCTGAACTATCATTCACTGTTGATGACCGTGAACAGCTACATCCGGCACGTGAGGCCAATGTTATTATGGCCTGTGCTTTGACCAATCTAGAGGAGCTGATGAAGTTTCAAATTCACACAGTCAACCACTTCTTTGGCAAAATAGTCAAAGAGGGGTAGACAACGATTGAAGTTGGTCCTTCCGATGCTGCTGCTGCTATTCCAGCTACTAAAGCTGAGGCTGAAGCTTCTATAGCTGAAGCTGAAGCTTCTATAGCTGAAGCTGAAGCTGCTGCTGTTGTTGATGACTCTCCAGCTTCCTATGAAGTTCCCGTAGCTAAGGATGTTGATGTTGCCCGAACTGAAGCTCCTCACGAAGATCCTCCAGTCACCTCTACAGCTGATGGTGGTGATCTAGATGATGAATACAGTGATGATGAAGATGACGATGAGTCCCCCGACCTTCCTGACATTGGCAAAGATCTGGATGATGATGACGATGAAGACGACGATGACGATGACTTCACGATTCAGTAATAGAAACCTGCCGATGCCACGAAAGGTGTCACCCTCAAGGATTCGGCATCCTAGGGGGATCAAGAGGTGAAAGAGGCTTCTCAAGAAAAGCACCAGGGCTCTAAGTTTTGAAGGCAAAGGCGTCGCTGAAGAAGGGAACTTAAAGGTACTATTCCAAACTACTCAACCCTTGTTTGAAGACTCCTCATCTCAGGTAGTCATTAATTCACTGTATCAACTCACTAGAATGGAACCCTAAGAACCCTACCCCTAGCACTCCCACCGACCAGCAGATGACTCAGCTCAAGGAGTAAAAATCCCTCTTCGTACCTCTAGTTGTGGTGAGTTCGACTTACTGACTGATGCTGAAAGACTCGAGGCCCTCAAGGCCGATGAAGAACTGGAACTTCAAAGGAAGCAGACTGAAGACAGCTTAAAGCTGGCCAAGTCCCTTGCCGCCAAAATTCTTTCCAAGAGAAAGTCCAAAAAGAAGGTGACTGCTGCCCAGGCCCAGGCTAAGCTCCTATCTGTTGTAGAAGCTGAACGCAAGAACCTGAAACTGGCTGAGCGGGACGAGCGCTGGAGCGAAGCAAGCATTAATAAAAGGATCAGTCCTCACCCAATCAAGAGCGTCAACATCAGTGGACGATCAAAAGATAGTGGGATGCTTCTCTTCATGCTCATCCCCAGGGACAATCTCTAGGCTGTGACTGAGTACCCCTCCTATCTTGGTGAGTATGGCTACACTGAATGGCTGGAGATCCTGCAGGTCATTCAGTACTCAAATTCTAGACGTAAGACGATTATCGAAGACCTTATCAATGATTTGATCAAGAAAGTGTCAATACATGTCGCAGTCCCTAAAGTGCCTACGCTGAAGAAAGGAGGAAGAAGAAAAAGACCTTTAAGCCCGAATGATGGACCATCCCTGAGGAATGAACATGAAACAAAGTTCTCCTTATATGAAGTCCTGAAAGCTTTGAAGAATCCAGACATCACTATGTTGAATCTCTCACTGCCAGCGAAGGGTCCTTATGTACCCAACATTGTGCACTTCAAGCCTGAGAAAAGAATTATTTTCCTTGACTATAATGGTGAATTTATCTTTCTAATAATGTCTGAGTTACATCTTTGCTCAATGGAACGTCTTGTATATCTTCGTTATTGGCTGAACGATGATGTATTTGGTGAAACGATGGACATCAGGATCATAAAGGACTTTCAATGTCGAAAGGAGATCAGAGAAGATGTACCTGGTTACATTAATCTGAACAACTTAGATTAGTTATTTCTTTTGTACTTCGTTCTTTCACTATATAAATTATTACTATGTCTACTTTCAGTGATTATTCTTATATTTTGTAAGTCTAGGCATGTACTGAAACACTTGTAATATTTTCTTTGAATTTAATATAAGTATTTTTGTGCATCACTGAAAAAGATCCTTGAAAATAGTAATAGGAACACAAGTCTATGAGTCCAGTGTTACTATTACATTCACTGAGAATCTATAAGTCAGTGAATATGCTTTCAGTTTCAGTTTTCCTTCTTTTATTTTTTCCTTAGACTTAAACTTAAGAAAAGGGACATGTACTTTATATGTAACTTTTCCTTACTGTTATTTGATAAGACAACTTTCTTTTTGTTGTCTTGTTATCATCAACTAGGGGGGAGGGGAGATTGTTGATCCTCTCTCTCAGTGATTTGATGATAATCCCTTTTACCTTGTATGAAGTATTTGTGTTTCTGTCTAGCAGTTCCAACGATCCTCACTGAGTCTGTTCAGTGATTGCTGAGAGCATGTAATGTAAATCCATCTACAACAACGATACGTTAAGAAGACAAAAATCACACCAAAGAACCTTCAGCAAAAGTCGAAGGCTAAAACTGAAGATTAGAGACTGGCGAGTTCGTGATCTGAAGCGGTATTCAATGATTACAACTTGGTCTACATATGTGTGAAGACTGCCCAAGCCTCGGCGAATGCTGAAGAGACCTTTAGGTTATTCCAGCATTCAGCGATCAAAAGAAGCTTGTTGAGGACAATTGTTTTTGTCTTGTCCTTATACACACAAGGACAAACCTATACCCTTTCTAGAAGCATAGTACGGTACAGAGCTTATTAGTTGACTCTACTAACCACCAACTTTATGAAAGGATGTTTACTCATGAATAGGCTTTTGTACTATTCACTATAGCTGTGACAACTCTGCATTGTGGGATTTCAGGTTAGTACTTTATTTCAGGATCCTGATTGAAAACTAAGCCTTTTTAGGATTTAGCCTCAGAGATCGTCTTGTTAGTTTGATTAGATCATGTTTCGACGGTAGCTAACCAAGTWAGTTCGTGCAATGCCAAATAGTCTTGAAATATTTCACATAAAAATAAAGCTGATATTTTCGTTTCGTCCTTCTTAAAATCAAATTTCCAAAGTTTCAATTTTCTTTTATTTATTTAGTTGCCTATCATTATTTTATAGGAATGGAGTTTTAAAATCTTTTGTCAAATTGTTTTGTTTGTTTTAGATTTTTGGGGCCTAGCATTTGAAAATTTAACATCTTGGGCTTGGGCCTTGGTAGGACAACCCATTTTTCTTTCAAAAGCCCCATATAAATACCCCCTCCCCTTTTGAAAACTCCTCATTCTTCAAAAAGTTCCAGCCTTTCGTTCTCTCTCTCTCTCTCTAACTTCATCACCTTCCAACCAACTTCTTCTTCTTGCAAAAACTCAAGCTTTCTGCTGTTTTGAGTCTGGTTCGAGATTTTCGGTCAARAAAAAGGTATGTTTTACGAACTGTTTTATCCCTTTTAGTTGTTCGAACTTCTTTATCTTTCTACTCGATTCTTTAAATAAATTTATGAGATTTAAAGAGGTGAGATTAATCATCAAAGACCTGCATGTGTCTTCACGGGGATGATAATCTGTGACCCAAGAATCTTTAATCTCAAAGAAAGAAGAAGAGAGCTCTTGCATGTGAGGTCTGATCGTACTCTCGGATGATTAAATCTTGCATGCATCTTTAAATCGATTCTCTCATCTTGTATCTTGTTGGAATTAGAATCCTTATTATTTTACTCTCTTTTCTGGGTTTATATTGATTTTTGGCATTAAAAGTTTTGATTCTTGAAAACGTTGAGCTCGAGACCCTCCCCATCATTGCTGTCATTCTTGGGCATGCAAAC